CAAAAACATTTTACAAGGAAAATAGCAATTTGTGAGAGAAGGTAAGTATCTATTGGAATGCCATTTTATTATCTAGGTTACTAATATGTATTTAAGGAATACAAAAATAGCAATTTGTGAGAGAAGGTAAGTATCTATTGGAATGCCATTTTATTATCTAGGTTACTAATATGTATTTAAGGAATACAAAAATAGAAATTTGTGAGAGAAGGTAAGTATCTATTGGAATGCTATTTTATTATCTAGGTTACTAATATGTATTTAAGGAATACAAAAATAGAAATTTGTGAGAGAAGGTAAGTATCTATTGGAATGCTATTTTATTATCTAGGTTACTAATATGTATTTAAGGACTGGTAAAATGTCTGGATATGCATTTGTACTGCATTTATCATGTGTGTAAGTTTTTCTAATATAACATTTAGGGATGCATGGGTAGTAAAATTTGGCAGAATACTGGGTCCGGATACGCAGCACTAAGCTTTGGCTGGTGCCAGTTGTCAACCTTGCCCCCCCCCCCACCCAAATAAAACATCACAAAAATTAGAAACAAAAACAAAATTGATGTTTATTACATTTAACCGAATAATCACCAACAGAACATTCAAGCTCATAAAAATGTACGGGTCACACGAAAGTTTTCTCGTGGAATTTAATGAATATTTATTTGTCACGATTATGAAATTATACTTGCAACCAAATTTACAAAACGTGCTTCATGTGAAAAACATCATTTTGGAAAGTTTGGGATATTTCATCTATACTAATAAAACAGCCTGTGTGTGTGTGTTAGTCAGCACCATAGCTCCAAAGGAAAGAACCTAGAGACCTGAAACTTTTTACGCATACTAAAGAAATACCGAGGGCTTGTACCTGGATATTATTATTTTTTTCTTACAAAAATGTGCCCAATTTGTTTGGCCTGTTTGGCCTCGATATAATGAATATACAGAAAATATAATTTTTGACATTATGTAGAGAAAAAATAAAATAATTTTTTATACCTCAAATAAAATATTTTGAAATCAAATACTTAATTTTACGTCGAAATCACATAGATATTGTGTTTGTGTAAATTTCTAAATATTGTTTTTATTTTAAATTACAAATTGAGTTGACTAGTTAGGCTAGCTGAAAGAGTGATTGATTATACTAATTAAATAGAGGGGTGAACAAGAGTTTAGGTTATATTCTGTACAACGTTTTTTATAAACCTGTTGTTACAAAACTGTTATTGTTTCACATTTCTTAAAAATGAAACCACGCATAAAAGTATTAGAATTCATATTATTACCATTTCCACCAATAATATTAAAAATAACAGTTTTGTAAAAAACGGGTTTACAAATAAACACACATGAAAGTGTTAGAATTCATATTATTGGTGGAAATAATTATATTTAAATGTTTGTTCGCACTAACTTCATATTCACAGAATGTTTGTAAACAATATGTCTTTCTTTTCAGTGGCACAGCGGTATGACTGCGGACTTATAACGCTAGAAACCGGGATTCGATACCCGTAGAGGGCAGAGCACAGATAGCCCATTGCGTAGCTGTGTGCTTAACTACGACCAAAATTATTTTCATTATTGGTACCTTTAGTTATTTGACATGTATTGTAACATGAAAAGCGAAATTTTGATCCTTTCTGTTTAAAAATAGCTAAATATCGGTCCTCTGTTCAGTTAATACCCAGGAAACGCGGGGTAAGGATGGCTAGTCGAAAAATAATTTACATAACACTTACAGTCTGATACAACAAACTCGTAAAGTTGCATTGAAATATCACCACTAGTAATTATATGGCACGTTTCGTTCCTCTACTTTAGATTACTCTAATAGCTTTTATTGATTTATTTTAGGGATGCACGGGTACTCAGCCAGATATTCGGCCTCGGCCGAGTATTGGGCTATCCGGTAATACTCGGCTCTGGCCGACTGTCGAACTTAGGCATCTAAGCCCTAATCTTTGTGGCAACTAATGCGATACTAAAAGTTATAGTCAGTAATTGGTTTAGTTACAAAAAAAAACAAAAAAAACGTGTTTGGAGCGTGGGGTTTTTGAGAACAGTAGGGATTAGGGTTTGAGAAGTTGGGGCTACGCATTGAAAGTTGAAAGTAAAACATAAAATGAAGTACCTCAATTTGAGCGAGGAACTTACGTAAACAACCTTCATGAAATAATCACAATACCTAGTAACACAAGAACTAATACGTGTCAGATGAGTCTTCAGTGTGGCAAAATGAATACGAACTTAATTCAAAACTTATGATAAAATAAGCAAAATAATATCATCAATGTCCAAAAAAAACAACTTACTTGATCAAAGTATCCGCTCTCTCCCTAGCCTTGTTTAAGCTTGTCACGGAACGGTTGTTTGAAACGTTGCTGAATAAAGGTTTTTACTTTAATTATGTTATTTTGCTTTTGTTTTAATCTGGGTATTTTCATACAGTCAAACAAGACCGTAAGAATTAAAATAAGAACACTATTTCTTCCGCGAACACACAGTTAAAGGTCTTTCTGTAAAGAACTGAACCTAGCACATAGCAAAGAGAAAACGAATAGGATAGATTTAGCAATCAGACATTACTCTTTACGTAATATTTTTAAAACATAAAGTTAAACCTTCTACTAAAATCTGTTTTATATCATGCTGTGAATATTATAAATATTTTCAGAACAATTGAATGTCGTAGGAATCACATTTTTAAAAAAACTTGTATGGAAATACAATAATTTGAGATATGACTGTGTAGTGGAAGAATAACTTTACTATATGATACGTTAGAAAATTTGATTATCAAGTGAATAATTTCTATAATCTCTACGATCTTTACTCTAAGTACAGTAGTTGAATATTGATTAATCCACTAATTATTTAGATGACATATGTTAAACGCTATGGGTAACTAAAAGCATAAAACTTTCATGGCTTATCTCATATCTATTGTTGCGTCAGCGAGGTCACGTGACTAATGACACGCCACTCGTTCTCTTGAATCTTCGGGAATTGTCGGGAGATTACTAGATATAGGGTAGTCTGGTATATATATAAGAGGGTGACAACGTGACGGGAGAATGTGTGTAGGTAGTGAGTAATTGAACTGCAGTCAGAAAGTATTGTTGAAGTTAACGTTCGTTGTTAAAACGTTTGTTATAGAGCGACTGTTGAAAATAAGTGTATCGGTAAAGTTATATTCATTAAGAATAAACCAGTTTTATTAAGTAAGGACTTGTGTCGCTAAAGTTTCGTCCAAACGAAGTTACGGAAAATCAATTAACGACTGGAGGCGTACCACTATATAAAATCAATAAAAGTAAGAAATTTTAATAGTTACTTAAATATTTACACCAGGAGCGAATGAAACTTGCATAAAAAACGTGTAAGCACCTTCAGCTTTAACTCTCCCAAACGTATGTGGGAGAAATAATTCCAGGAAAAATAAAAAGAGAGAGAAAACGTGACTAAAGTGCTGTTTTACTGGGGTCACTAGTGTCATCTTCTGTCATCAGTCAAGAACGAAGGAATCATACTAGTCACATCACCTGCGACAAGACTACTTTTTCGTTTCTCTTTGTAACGGTTTGTTTACTCTAAGTACTCTTACCAATACTTCTGCGTAAAAGAGGTTGAGGAGCAGTTAAAAAGCGATCAACTATTAATGCCTTATGAACAAAAATTCCTTCTTAATCCTTCTTTCTATTCATACCGATGTATTACCCTTTTTCTCTCTTTGTTACAGAAACCTGAATTTCAACTAGTTTAACATTACGAGATTTGTGTTATTCGAATGGAGATTTTCAATCATTGAAGAGAAAATGTGGTCAATACGGGCTTTAATTTTTGTTTCGTGACTCGTCTCTGAGTACAATTTTCAGTGTTTATAAAATTTCCTGAATAAATCAACTACCACAAGTACTGCTAGTATCGAAATTCATTTTATTTGAGAGTAGATTTGTGAATGAACACATACATGGTTGTACCACAGGAATATCATGGATTATTAATAAAAACAAATAGGATTAAAACACAGTCCTTATAATTCTGCATCTGAAATTGCTTTAATTGGTTTAATC